AAAAAAAAAAAAAAAAAAAAAAAAAAAAAAAAACAAGGAGCCCTCATTCTGCCAAGAAATTATACATTTTCATCCAAAAACGTCGTGAGCAATATTGTCGTTCGTGTTCACAAATTAACCAAGTAACTTTTGGTCTCAATTTATTGGTAAGAGAATCAAAACTCCCCAGCCAAAAAACGCGTGGACGTAAACTACCAGAAAAAACAGGTGCGCCGAAAAAAAAAAATCGTTGACGAAATGTCCTACAACCAGAAGCGCTCAGATTTTTTCTTGGAGGGCGCGTCTTTAAGTTCCCCTGAGAAGACGAGCACGGTTGAGATGAACTCGATCACCAAAATTCCAACCGTCAATTAAAATATAGACCTTTAATGAGAAAAAGATTGTAGGGTTGAAGGAAATTCAACTAAAGAGGACGCAAAGAATCGCCCCTATCGATACCCTTTCTTTAAAAAAAAATCGTGGCATTAACTCGGGTTCTGACAACTCCTTATTCTTCATCTGAATCGTTTCTTCCCTTTTCCGGGGGTATTGTTCTGTCAAGATGCAGGATATCCTACACTTCCTTCGCAAGCGAGAAGAATCAATGGATGAATGCCAAATCCGCCGGCCATTCAACAAAACAACTCTCTTACTTCCCGTTTTTTGCCCGGCTGCACGGCTTCCTCCCTACGACTTAAGGGTATATTAATTCATGGAGAATACGTGTATCGATGATTTCAGTAAAAAAATTCATACGAGGTCTGTTAGATTAGAAACCGGATTTTGGTGATAACTAGCCCAGTGTGCGTCCGAATTAGGTTTCCTTGGACTTTTTTGATAGCTGATAACATACTAAAGAACGCTAGATTCACAGATTTTGTTTATTTTGATCAGTATGTCACCTTTAATACGAGTAAGTCAGGTGCGTTCTGCGATTTTCATCGCACGATCACTGATAGAGCAAAAATTTAACATTAAATTTTGTTTTAAACTCGGTATACCTTGTACCGAAACTTTAAGTATGCTAAGTAAAGTTTACCAAGATCATTGTTTGAGTTGTTCTCTCTGTTATGAGTGGGTTAAACGATTCAAAACTGGTCAGGAGTTCGTCGAAGATGAGGAGCATGAGAATCGACCATCAACGGCAACTGACATTTGTCACGTGGAAGAAGTGCGCACAAAAAGTGCTCGAAAATGGTCGTTTCGAGCTTGCTGAATAGTGTAATATTTCTGAAGGCTCTGTTTTGTACATACAATTTTGATAGAATATGTAGACATGCATCGAGTTTCAGGTACACATGCCCCTTGATTGTTGTCCGTTGAACAAAAATCCAACCGAATGTCAATTTCTCTATAGCTGCTCGAACGTTCTGACAATGATCCTACATTTTTGGATAGGATAATTTTCGGTGACAAAACTTGAGTGTCCGGCTACGATATGGAGACGAAACTCCAATCATCCTCGTGGATTGAAGAATGTAGTGCAAGACCGAAAAAAGAGAGACATGTTTGGTCAAACATAAAAATCGCAGAGCACCCATGAGGTTGCCTTACTTCAAGCCTCATACCAACAAAGCTAATTAAGTTTCTTCAAATTTGTGAGCGTAGCGTTCTTAAGCATATTTTCAGCTATCAGAAAAGTTTAAGATTACCTAATTCGGACGAAAGGTAGGCTATTTAAGACCAAAATCCTGTTTCTAATCTAACAGACCTCGTATCTCCGATTTCACCATTGCAATGCTCCGCTCGGAGTTCAATTTGAGCGTCCATCACGCCACACGATTCTTTGATGCAAATGTTTCGACTCCTGTGTGTTGCACAGTATCAAGCGTGATCGAAGGCGCGTTTTTGGACCAACACGAAATGATACAACTCCAAGTAATTTCACGGGAACTTCCTTCATTTTGAGCGTTTACTGCACCCGTAGAGGACGCTTTTTCCGGCGATTTTTTCGAATCTGCGCGGTAACATTGTAACATGCTGTAATGTTAGCAGCCTCGTATTGCTTTATGGGGATTGGTTCCATTTTTCGCTGCGAAAAAATATTTAATATTTTTATAATTTGTTTGTTAATGTGCGTAGCTTTTTATGCAATCATGACATGACATTTTCTTTGACATTATTTATTCTTTGTTCGAAAAATGTTCAACTTCATAAAGTTTTTATTTCAAATTCCAGTTCTCGTTCAGAAGTTTTTTCCCAAAGGTTTCATCAAGCTTTTTTACTCACTATATAACATGAACCCCACACATTACTCCATGAGAGACTATAATGTCAAAACAGCTGATATTATTAGCTCTACGTTCTTTGTGTATCTTTCAGTGATTCATTTCGTCCTGCACTATCGAGAGGTAGAATGATGTTACCATATGTTAAATAATATTTCAATTATTTCTTAGCAATAATAATAAATTATAAAAAGTTTCGTATGGTGAACGCTCTCCAGCGTCAAAACGTTGGAATGAACCCCTGCTGGTTTTTTTACCAAGATAAAAGTAAGTAACAGTAAATTACAAAAATGCATACAGTCGAATAGAATCTGAACCAAGATAAAGATAGGTTTGAGGTTTTATTCCTCCGTGAGACTCAAAGTTAAAGACAAAGTTTAACGACTATGCGCACCATTGCTCACGTTAAAACTATTTTTTCTCGAGTTTAAATTTATGTCAGCAGGAAATTTACGACGGGTTGATTTCAAAATTCCTGACTCATTTCTTTCCCTTATTACGACTAGTACGTTTTTTATCGACTCGGTCTAGCTTTCCTAGAAATTTCACATATTTTTACCAATTTTGGACTAAAAAATATTCCATTATCAGACCAGTTTTGGGCATAAAATTTTTAATTTTCATGGCAAATTTTTGACTCATAATTTTGATGAAAATGACACAAAGAAACGTTTTGTAAAACGAATGGACGCATGTCATTCTTTCTTTCCCAAAATTATGTCTGCGGGGCGCGAAACGAACATGTTTTGCTCCAAACAGGGCGTAAGTGACTCTGACACTTTTTTGTTGCAATGGAGCACTAGACAAGGTACTAATTTCAGCATTCTGATTAATGTTTCTTGACCAAACTTTCACGTAAAACACGATGCGCACAACGAAAAATACCGAAATCAACTCCTTCCGAAGATATTTAATGATTCTTGATTCGTGAATTCAAACCACCCGCTCATGAAAACTCAATGCTCTACGTGACTCACATCGCGCGCTAAACGTTATCATGACAGTCTCTGCGATTTACAAATCTGGCAACCTCAATCTTGACGCTTTGGCTCAAATTACTCGTAGTTTGAACAACACACGGTGGGAAATGAACATTGCTCGTTTGAGAAGCTTGCTGAAACCGTTGTAGCGCTCGATTTGACTCACGTAGAGCTTTGAGTTTCTTGTGAGCGGGCAGTTCAAATTCCTCTTAACCAATGTGAAATAAAAACGTTAATATCTTCGTTAGGAGTTGGTTTCAGTAATTTTCGTTTTGTGAATCGTGTTCTACGTGAAATTTTGGTTAAGAAACTATTTTTGGATTACTTAATTTCGCACGTTGTCTAGTGGTCCATTATTCTTCTTACAGGAAACAATTTTTCTACGGATATCTCATGGGTACTTACATTTTTGAAAAAAAGCTCTCGGCCGATCCGCCGGAAATTATTGTTCAAGAGCCAGTATAGAAAAGGATTCCAAAAACTATTACTCAGAGCCAGCCAAGTAATGAAAAAATCTAAGACAGCCGGCATCTGTAACAGCGAACAAATTTGAATTAAAACAGAAACCTCAGTACTCATTCGCACATGTCGAAAAAATGAGTCAGTGTACCTTAAAACTTAATATATCGGTAAGGCCGGATTTATTAGTTGGACTTATTTCTGCCAAATGGAACTATGTGCATAATGACGTGAGCCCTATTATGCATATATTCTTATGAGTCTCAGGGCTCATGTCTTAATCCACATAGTTCCGTTTGGCAGAAATACGTCCAGTCAGGCTACTAAGCTCGACTTTTTGACAGATTTTACTGTTTTTCACCACTACCGTCACCTTCCGGCAAAGTATCACAAGCGCCATGCGATGCTCAAAAATTTCCGCTGCCATTTTGTTTTTTTTATCAGCTGTAGCTGTATGCTGTAGGCGGGAAACGCTGAGGAGAGGACGTTATGCGTAAGGCGAGCCGGATCAAATGAAGGGGCCAGAACGAGATACGCATACTGCGCTTCAGCTCACGATACGTGAAAAAAGTTCCACGGTTTTAAGTGACTTCCCGATCTTCAACAACACGTTAATGCAGCTAACTCAAAACTGTCAATAATCGCGATACGCACTTCTGCACTTTCACCATCGATACGCACTTGAGCCACCAAATCTCGAATCTATCACGGAAAAAATTAAATTGCTGATTTGACTATTTTTTGGTTACAAATTGATTGCAATGTTTCGATGTAGATTTTACAGCAAAAAAAATGTTATTTCAACCACCCTCGTGGTTAAATTACATTTCCACTTTTGTAAAATGTACATTTTTGAAACATTGCAGTCACTTGTTTTTAACAATTAAATTGTTGAATCAGCAATCAATTTTTTCCCGTCATGACTAATATAACCCTTATATTATTCCTTATACGTAGAGTACTCATATTGAGAGAATATAGCAACTGGTGTTACCGCCTCTGATTGGCTCAGCCATCTTAGGCTGAATGGAGCCCTTAGGACCCAAAAATGGCGGACGCCATAAATTAACGTAATTAAAAATGACTCAAAATGTAGTTTTCTTTGCTTATCGTAACGAGAAATTTACCCAAATGCACTATTGCGACTTCTCTACACATTCTTAAGGCTAATCGTGAGCAATTTTTGAGAAAAATTATCTTAGATGTAGTAAGGTTGGCAGCAAGTGCGGTTGGTGATAACCGTCAAAAGTTGGCAATGACCCCCCTCCCATCCACAAAAACCAAAACAAAGCACCGCCTTTTTTGGGTCCTAAGCCCGCTCCATGGGGCCCAGTGGCCATACTCTCTCAATATAGGTACTCTACTTATACGTAAACATATTCTTTCTTTTTTTGTAAAATTCAATTGTTTCGGAATATTCGGTTTCAAAATCGAGTGATTCGAATCCGGCAAGTAAAGGTGTCTATCGAAAGTACAACGTTATAACCACTCATGACACGGAGGAGCGAGAAGGGGCAAAAAATCTCCGCGCCGTAGAGGGACTGAGGTCGGGGGACCGGAAGTCATAAATATACGTGACCGTATTGATGTCTAGCTCGGTGAATTTGGCATGGGTATACCAGAGGGGGCAAACCGAGGGTGGGGAGGAGGATACATTAAGAATCGGAATCAGTTCAGTAGGTCGTAGCGGTGGCCACTATAGACTGTTTCAAACTTGAGTTCACGACTAGGATTCTCCGTTTAAAAGAATATGAATTACATTGAATGTAATAAAAAATGTTAATCCGGACCATCATCTTACAAAACAGAAAATGCCGTAAGCATCATAACATATTTTTAGAGAGCACCATACACTGGGAAAAAACACATTGGATCTAGAGTCCAGACTCTTAAAAACATCGACAAGAAAAAATACTCTTGATTCAATCAGATTTAAGCTTAAATCAAGAACCAAGCCTCTTAATTTAAGCGGATTTCCTTTTGATTTAAGCTTAAATCTGATTGAATCAAGAGTATTTTTTCTACGAGCAGTCAATGTTTTCAAGAGTCTGGATCCAATGTGTTTTTTTTTCAGTGTGAGTCAAGCCACACGGTTGTTTTTACCTCACGCTAATTCCCTGAAATCAAGAAAAATAGGGCTTGTCTGCGTAGATTTTTTTTTTTTTTTTTGCTGCTAAAAGCCTAAACTGCTTCATTACTTCGAATAGGTTAAAGGACATTTCGTCCACAATTTTTTGTCCGTGCATCTGTTTTTTCTAGTAGTTTTACGTCCATGCGTGTTTTCGGCGAGAGAGTTTTGGTCCACTTACCAATTGAGACCCAGTCAATTGAGCCACATGTAAATACAAAGGACAATTGCTCACAACATTTTTGGATGAAAATGTATAATGTCTTGGAGGAACGAGGGCTTGCTTGGTTTTTTTTCTGTTTGTTTGTTTGGTCCAACGGAGAAAAATATATGATTGAGATTTTTGGTAAAAATGGGGGAGCGTCAATTCCATGGGAGAAGATTCACTAAAACTCTCTACACCTTTTTGGTGCAACAGGACTTAATTAACTTTCAAGAAAATCCCATCTTGTTGTATCTGAACCGGGTAAACCTTTTGATTTGCCTCAGCTAAAGGCTCTTAGATTTTTCCTGTGTTTGGTAGCTTTGCGACGGTGCCGGCATGCCGCGGCGCTTCGAGCCACTATTTTGCCACGGAGGGGTTGCAGAGTATCACACGAGATTGAAGGCACCCCAACGTATCATGATTGATGGAACCTTTCAAAAGCTTGAGGTTCTCTCGCAAATTAAATCGAGTGACGAAGACAAAGAGGAGCGGTAGTCGAAAAACCTACTAACAATAAGTCTTAGTATCTGTACTCAATAACGTTAAGCATGATTTTTGAACTTCATTAGATGAAAAAGTGAATTGATTCAAGCAGAAATATGCTCAAATTCACCGCCTAGAAGATTTCCATATGTATTAGTAAAGAAAATAATGTTTGTTTAAAGGAGAGAAGGTGCTTTTATAAAAAGTAGAGTCATTCTTACATCAAGCCGCTTTCATTTTATTCTTAATTGAAAATTAAATCTTCTTGACGACATACTCAAGAATGTTTCTACCGAAATCTCGAGTCACTTTTTTCTCACAAAATTCAAGAATCATGCTGAACGTTATTAAACACCAATGCTAGGACATAATGAGTTTTTGGACTGCCGCTCTCTTTTTGTGCCCTAGTATCTTTATTTATTTTGCGAGGGATGCTCCGTACTCTTGGAGGATGATTGTCATTCTTAATATGTTGGAGCGCCTTCAATTTCGTATGATACTGTGCAACACCTCTGTTGTGAAATAGTTGCTTGAGGCGCCGGGGCCGTGGCACGTTGCCGACAGCCGGCCAGCGCCTACAAACCTAAGGGGATACTTCGAGCATTGCGCAATGCGTGAAGTATCCCCTTAGGCGCGAGTTTTGCGCTGGCCGCACGCCACTCAGCTGTGTTAGCCTCTAACATTTAAACTCGAGGAGTCAGCGTTTTTCAACTCACGATTTTGAAAAGTTTGCACATTCTGTATGGATTACTCTTATTTAAATTGATGAAAACAAAATATGTATCAAAGGAAAATATAATGTGTGTTTTTTAAATATTAAGGTGGTCCCGTGTCTATTATGATTTCCAAAGCAATTTAATTTTTTCTTTCATATCGTGTGCTTTCACTGTGCTGCGGCGTGGTATTCTCGCAACCATGTGTTCAAAATTGGATGTATTTGACTCTAAAAGATCGATGTACAAATGGGTTAGAACCAACGATTGCGTGCTTCTTGGCTTTTCCCATCTTTTTTTCACCTTTTTAATTTTTGTATAGTTTCATTCAATACAACTGCGGCTCATTGAGATTAATATCAACGTCATCGCTTGGAAAGGATTTTACAAATATTTTTCGCATTTGAAAAATGTAAATATCTTTAAAATAAAGTAATATTTTCATTTAAAAAAAGAAAAAATGCGTAAATAAGGTACATTTTATATTGAAAATGTTAAGGGTAGAAATACAACCAGATATTCACCGATGATAATTTGAAATGATGAATTAAAATAAAAAAGTCAAATTTCATAAAAAAAGTGAGTTACCATATTGACACCTCCTTCTCTCTCACATTTCTAATTTCGGTACTGTCAATATAATTTTACAGAAATAAAACGCTGAGACCAAGTCATTGTTGTTTAATTTACACGTGGACGTAAACTACTGGACAAAAAATCGTTGACGGAATGTCCTGAAACCTTCGGAAAAATCGATGAAATATATATTTGTAAGTTTTGTAGGTCATAAGCTTAACCTGAAGACAGCTCTGGCCATGAAGCAATGTAATCTCAGTCTTTTTGTTACCTAAAAAATGAACTGCTGCGTCTTTTAAAAAGGTCGTTTCAGAAAAAGGAAACATATTGCACGATACGCACTTTTAGTTCTATGCTGCATAGGATAACATAAAGTATTGACGTGTTGAATTGACGATTTAAGGTGACACGAGTTATGTTTGCCGCAATTAGGATAACGCAAAACGCCTTCAATTAGAGTTGATACTGCACGCATGACCACAGATTTTAAATAGTTATCGATTTGCGCTTGCAACTCGCCGTTGTCTTTTACCACATAGGAGCCGTTCTATCAATCCTTTTCAAATAAATTTTTAACATTTGCTACTTATAATTATTCATCAATTTTAGGATAAGATTATGACTTTTGGAATAAAGATAAAATTGTAATTTCATATGCAAAGCGATCTATACTACCCGCCCACCAATTATGTTTTGAAAACGGATCAAGAACTTTGGAACCGAAAACTTTTAAACGCAATTCAACCCCAAGGGATTTGTCGCTGAAAATCCGATTTAGAGGTCAAAATTAAACCAAGACTTTTGAATATTTTGGTTTGCGGGCGGTTAAATACTGATGAATGTTGTAATTGCAGTCAACGGTGACTCTCATTTCCCGAGGTTAAAGGTTAAAATAAGATATATCGAGTAAGAAATCTCGTCTTCTTCTTTTGCAGCCAATTCACGTTTTTAAAATTGGGTGAGCCGCATGTCTACAATGTTTGATTAAAAATCCCAAACCGATTCGAAGGACAAAATGTTTTATTCCTCCTCGGTTGAAACATACCCTTGCAGTTTGACAATCCCAAGAAAAAGGGAGTTGTCTTATTTACCCTCATGATATTTCCAAGAATGGATTACGGGACCAAAATATGCCCATGAAATCCCTTGAGCTGAACTAATTAAACAGTATTGACTGCTAAGTTATGTCAGACCATTTTCTAGATTTAGTCGATAAACGGATAGTTTTCACCACTGGCACATTGAATGATAATTTATTCTGATCGTCAAAAACAATAGATAGAATTTGAAAATGATGAAAAAAGTATTTTTTGCAGAAATTATTTATGTAAAAAGTATCTAGAACAAGCGCTTTCAAGGATTAAAGTGAAGATCAAGGAAACAGATTGCAGGGGCATGAGCGGTAACTATTTCGACACTACGGTCGTGGGTGCGGTATTCTTTCCACATGAAGGCGCTTCGCGGCGTTCTGTCCGCAGCTGACAATACTCGCTTCGGTTCCACTCCTTACTTTAATGCGTTTACATTATGTTTCAACCTGTACAGCGCACAATGAGAGAGTGAGTCAAAAGAGAGTGAGTTTTTTATGGTCAGTATCTACGGGCAACTTTTTAAATTTAATATTTTAAATCCTTCTTTATGGATTGGCTTACCTTAGAGCCGGTGCAAGCTGCAACTACCTCCTGGATAGTCCAAGGGGTGACGACCACGATGAAGCCTAAAGACATGGCGGCCATCGTTCGCGAAGTGTTCATACTCATCCGCCTTTCTTGCGCCAACATCTGCACAGTAAAAAAATCACATTCATTTTTAACCACGATATATTAAATTTATTGAATGAAATATGGGTGTGACTGCCCAGGAGAAGTGAGTTCTCAGCGCTGAAAAATTCAAAATTAAGGTATCGATGTCATCGCTTCGAAAAGTCACCGAGGAAAAAGAATTTCTGGAGTACTGGAATTCTAACATAAATAGCTTAATACACGACAAGTAACGCAATCAAATGAATGAGTAAAAGTTATTATATAGTACTGGTTGCTAGATTTCCATGCATAATCAGAAATTTTGCAGCCACCGTAATTCCAATCCGAGGTTTTCCAACCAGTTTGACTTAAAATATGCCCTTAAATGAAAATTTGGGTGAGGAAAGTGACGAAATGGAATTTTAAAAAAAAAGCCTAAAGTTCGTATATTATTGTAAGGCTACGTTTTTCCGCAACTAATTTTCAAGAATTCTAGAGTTCAATGCACGCCTCGGACGGAAAAGCACTGTTAAAGAGTCATTTCTCTCAAAGAAAGAAAGAAAAAAAAAAGGAAGAGACTCGACGAAAATAAAAGGGTCAATCACTTTTCCATCAAAGTTCATCACTGAAAAAAAGTTTGGTCTACGAACCGAAAGTTTGGTGTTCCATATCATCTCAATTATTCGGTTCGTCAAACCAAACTTTCGGTCCGTTTAGAGCTCGTATCACACAATCGAATCTAGCTATCAATAATGGACGAGGTCATGCACATCCCATCAAACACTGTGATTGGCTTATTCGACGATTAGCACCAATCAAAAGACATGACCTCGATGACTCGATACCACTCGCTGATCGTGTAACATGAGCTTAAACGGCCCGATTTCTTAATTCATATGACCAAACACCCAGTTCATGTGACCGAACACTGATCATTCGTTCACTTTACCGCCGGAGTTCAGTTTGACAAACCCGATAGTTCGATGATATGGAACCCCAAAAGTTTGGTTCATACGAATCATTTTTTTTAAATAATAATTTATTTTCCGGTTGAAAATGAGATTATAACTATTTTGAAACGTTCCGGGTTTTGATTATCCTTTGTTCTTTTTTGCAGCCTTTTCCCCAGAATTAAGCTGTTCTTTTATTATGTGTATTTTGGCTGATTAAGTTGTTTTTCATTTTGGTTCATACGATTGAACTTTTTTTTTAGTGATGAGTCTTCGTATGGACCAATTGAATCACTTCAGACAGAACGTGACGCGAGGCAATGTGTGTGTGTGCGAGGCGGTGTGTGTGTGTGGCTTTTCCCTCCACTGCGATGAACATTGAACACATTGTTTCTTCGCTTTTGACACCAGACTTTCCTGGCTGGCGGCCAGATCTTATTGATTTCCATTTTAATGTTGAAACCTCGCATTCAGCCTCCCTCCTTTCCCTCCTCCTTTCGTTTCTCCGGAGACTGGGTCCTGTCGGTGGGTCTGTGATTTAATTTGCGCTTGCAGTTGACTATGGTCGTTACTTCGTTCATGAAGACGGAGCATTCCGGGTCACGATTCTTTGCGATTGCGATTTTTCCAACTTCATCCGGCCTCGGGTCTTGTGCTTTTCTCGAGGTAGGTCCAAGACTAAATGAAGTGGTAACAGCCTGTGAGGCTTGATTGTGTTGGAACGTTTCAAAGTTTAACCAGACAATGGAGATGTTGCATGTGTGAGAAATTTGCGATTTGACTCTCGATTCATACGTTAAAGTTCGCAAGAAACACGATGGCGCCACTGGTTTTCTCTGATATTAACTCCCGAGCTCAAAAAAAGCTCTCAAGTTGAGGCCAAAATGGAGGGGATATCCCACCTTACCCTGAGAGTCCACCTCTACATCAAAACAAAATCTCCATGCAAAGATAGGGAGCAAATACATTAGCAGTGTTGCCGTGTTGAGTCCCCAAATAAAGTGGCAGCCCTGTCAATGTATTTGCTCCCTATCTTTGCATGGAGTGTTTGTCTTGATGTAGAGGTGGACTCTCAGGATCGTGGATATCTTCTCCATTTTGGCCTCAACTTGAGAGCTTTTTTTAAGCTTGGGAGTTGATTTCAAAGAAAACCAGTAGAACTTGTACCTACGTAAGAATCAACAGTCAAATCGCAAATTCCTCACACATGCAACAACTCCATTCTTATTTATTTATTTATTTATGAACGGGTGTATGTTTCACAATGAAACGTTCCTACATCGTCTGTAAAATTATATGAATAATTATGAACGGATTTCAAAATAACATTTGCAACCGTTCTTGAGTTGCTAAATAAATTTCAAAATGAAACTTTGCAACATTGCAATGCAAGTAACACGATGAACAAAGCAGCTCTTCTCTTCGTAACTGAGTTGCTAAATAAATTCCAAAATGGAACTTTGCAACACTGCAATGTAAGTAACACAGTGCAACAAAGTAGCTCTCTTTCTTTCGAATAACCAACTTCTGAAGGATCAACGTGATCTGAAATTGAGCCATGTGGCGTTGAGGCATTCCAACAAGTCATGTCGTATTGTCTAAAGAATGATATGTTTTAAATTAATCTTAAAATTTCGAAAAATTCGAAAAAAGGGGTTACAACCCAAGAATTTTGTTCTGTTTTTTAGGCAGACTAAAACTCCCAGAAGTGTTTTTAGTTGTCTGCCCTTACGTCTTGATTACGACGAACAATGTTTTGGGATAAAAATGTTTGGTCTAAAGAATGATATCACAAGAAAGGAAGTTTTAAACGGCAATGAATGTGATGTCTTTTCAAGCATGTCTGTCAAATTAGTTGAAACATCGGCGGGCACCACAATATCGTCACCTTCCGGTCAAAGTATCACAAGCGTCATGCGATGTTTCAACATTTCCGCCGCAATTTTATTTTTCACAGAGAAATTGTTGGTTGAGCCTGAAAATTTTACTGAATTTATAGGCAGCACGAAGGAAATTTAGTGAAATTTCCGGACGGTTCCGTTGAGCAATGTCTCTGTAAATAAATAAAATGACATTTTTAAACGTCGCATGGTGCTTGTGATACTTTGACCGGAAGGTGACTATATCAGCTCATGTGTGCTTGATATTGCGTACCTCTTCAATTGAAGGGGAAGCTTCACCTGGTCATACCTCCTCATTAAACGTTATCATGCATAACTGTCAGATCCTTCGAACAGTTGGATGTACATTTCTGTCAAACGGAACTATGTGCATAATGGCGTGAGCCCTGTTATGCATGTATTCTTATGGGTCTTAAAGCTCACGTCTTAATGCACTTAGTTCCGTTTGATAGAAATACGTCCAGTTGACGGATACCACTATCACGGCTTGTGAGCACTTACTTTTGCCTACCTGCTCAAATGAAGGAAAATCTCCTCCTGATGCCCATGCAGAGAAGCGACAACGCACAGTGGATCGAGTCGATGGAAGAGGTCGGACAGTATTTTGAACCTTTAAAAGCTTATAACTCCGTTCATACAAAACTCTGAGGTTTTAAAAAATGGTTCCATTGGTATCCTCGTAAAATTTCCTGTTAGAGGCACCCCTTAAAATTTAAAATGTGCGGAGTGAACATCATAATTTGCAGTTTTAGTTAACATTATCATGTCCGAACTCTCCACTGAAAAATAACTCTCGGCGTTTTTACCAAGGTCCGTTGGTACCTTCACCATCGCACTTTTTTTTACCAATTATTGGTAAATTTACCAAGACAGACGGGTAAGCTTACCTAAAAACCGGTATTTTTACAGTTTTTTTCAGGTAAGAATACCACTTTTATTGGTAATCAATTCCCGGTAACTTTGCCATTTTATCTCGGTAATTCTACCACAGTCGATAAAAAATATTTGCGTTTTTACCAAGGTCCAGTAAAATTACCGAGAAAGTTCAATAATAATACCGAGATTTCTCGGTAAAATTACCAATTCCATAAATGGTAATTTTACCAAGAAAAAACTGGGATCAAATAGAACCCTGAATTCTTAGTAATTTTACCCTTTTCTTATTAAATACACCGAGATTTTTTTTCAGTGCACCCCTTAAAATTTAAAATGTGATGAATTGAACATCAAAATTTGCAGTTTTAGTTAACATTATCATGTCCGACCTCTCTGATTGACTCGATCCACTGTGCGCTGTCCCGTGGGGTAGGAAACGGTGTGCGGGAGCCGCGAATCAAGGCTCAACAAAGGGATGGGGCGCAAGGAGGGTGGAATTTAAGCGGCTGAAATTTAAGTAACGAGCGGTCGTAAAGCGGGAGCCGATTGGCGATTGCTCCGCTCTATTGGCGACCTGTAACTCACCGAATTATCGCCGCTATTAGGTTGGCCGCGTCTCCTCTATTCAACCCTTTTCCCACCCCCTCACCCCGGCTGAGCTTCCTTATTCTGGCCTCAGATTGTCTACCCCTCGACGAACTCCCCTCTTAAAAGAACGAATTACTCATAATGAGGGAGTAGTAGGGTGTCTGATGATTTTTTAAGAAAACAAAAAAAAAAACAAGCAGTGAACTCCAACACAATGTGTTGATAAGGCGCGTCATTAACTCGCACATATCAACCCCTTTAGTTTTCATTTACAGAGATTTCAAAATAGGCAAACAGCATAAAAAGAGAATTCACGATCCAACACTGCGAGGTCAAAGACGCACCTTGACGAGACCGTGTATTGTGAAAGTAGAAAGCTATTCGATCGAATTTAAGTTTTTTGATCTGCCTCAAGCAAAATCTTATCAGATTCTTGAAGAAAAGTGCTACGGAATAATTTAAGCGAAGAAAGGAAAAATTCTGTCGAACTCCTAGAAGATAAAGTCGATTTAAAGGTATTTTGGGGCTAAAATACCCAAATCACCGGTAGTAAAAATCCCGTTATATTATTGAAAAGAAATTGACTCGATATAAATGCAATTGCATTAAATACGTCTTGATTTTGTTATTTTAAACGTCTTTCCATGCAAAGAAGTTCAACCATGTCGTTGCTTTATTCATTCATGAATTGAAAGTAAGCAATCTACATCCCGAAAATCTACTG